TCTATGTTAGCTTTTGACATTTGTAGCATGGTTACTCTAGTGTAATACACATGGATAATTGGCTCTAATCCATTTTCATGGAAAATTTGGGTAATAGCTGGCTTTGGAGAACCACGAACTGTCATGTGAATTTTTATATACCAGTTCTATTGTGTAATTGCATTTACACGAAATAGAAGATACTTTACTACTATAATTTAGATGAAAATGATTGCTTTTTAAGGGAAAACATGACACTTGAAATTTCTAATTCTTATAGATTCTGATTTGACTTTTAGTAACAAGAGACCAGTATCAGTCTCCTTTTGTAGAATATAATATTTGTAGTATCCCAACCTAACATCATTTAAACATGCAAGGGAAAAAAAAAATAGTTCAACCGGGTGTGTGTTCTTCACTTCAATTAAACTCACACAGTTGGATACCTACTGTTGCCAAAGCAGTAATATAATTTATACATTATAGTCCACACAGTAAAACTACACTAAAAGTCATTTAACAATATTTATAACACCATAAAATACAGTGTTAAAATATATGAACTGCAATATGTACCAAAATTATAAAATTTGTTTCTCATCATCAGTGATTAAAACCAGGATCATTGCTCTAGCCTCAATACTCACAACCCTGGTGACAGATTAGAATTCAAATCTTAATGATCAATTTACAATTAACAAGATAGAAGTGAAACAAATTAAACCAACCATTATATATAACGAGACCCCGTGGACTCCCATTGTTCCTCTTAATTACAAAACGCAAATCACAAATACACAATGGGCAGCATTAGACATCAATCCACACGACTAGCAACCCAGAAAGTGACAGTGACAGAAAGAAGAGAGGCAAAACCACCACGGAGAGCCCGGATCTGTGCTTTAACCAGCTCTTTCCAAAGTGCAAGTGGTGAGAGCCTAAACCCCAGCACACACTAGAGCTTCAGAGCTCCACACTGCCCTTGCAGGGCTTCTCTCCTAACCAGTGCCCAACCCTCCCAGCTCTTCGCAGGCCAGGTGTCAGATAACACTGCAGACTGCACTGCAACGTTTTACTGCTGATTCATCTAGGCGTCTGGGGCGAGGGAACACTTCCTTCACTTTGATAAAGAAAAATCACAGTTGTTCCAATGGTATTTAAATATCTCCATTTACCTCCTTCAAAAACAACCCCATAACTGTAATAAGCTCTCGGAGTACTGGGGAATACAGAAGGAAGGGTAGTGAAAGTTTATGCGAGCTTCAACTAAAATCAGCCAGAATGTCTGCCTTGTGCCAATTAAAAGCAAAATGGAATTAATTCTCTTGCCTGATGGTCAAAAACAAGCTATATAAAATGCACAGAATCAGCAGTTCATTTTTAGCTTTAAAATGGGACGTGCCATTCACAAACCCTGGGGTTACAGACACCACTACGTGCGGTGTGGAATACACACAGCGCAAAGCACAGTGCTAATCTCTGTGGAGGCTTCCAGAGAACAGAAGCAGTCGTCACAGCCATAATGCGACTTACGGTCTACTTGGGGAGAAAACACATACAACAGACATACACACACAGAGGTACCATTTCAAAACATTTTCACAGAGCATCCTAGCATGAGGCTGGGGCAGAGAGTAGAGTCTATGGGCACAGCGAGCCCAGATTGTCAGCTTTCCTCGTGATTCTGCAGGGGCTCTAGTCAAATGACTAGATCTGTGAGTAAAAAAGCTCTTTTAAATGGTATGAATCCATTTGTTTAGTTTGGCATTTTGAATAACATAAAACTCTTGGAGAAATGTTGCTAGTAAAGACAGGAAGGCAAAAAAAATAAGCTTTAATTATTGATCAATGCAAAATAAATACACGTACTTTCAGGAAAATTTTTACTACAGTAATCTGAGGAAAATATAGACCAAAATTACCAGATAGATTACATAATTATTTTGGAGACTGAGTTTCCACAATGACAGAACTTTAGAAACTCCGAGGCTTCCCTCAGCTCAAAGTGCAGGGGAAATTATGCCAAAAGTTTAGTACAGAAGTGAGCAGAGGTAAACTCCTGGAGGGTTTCTACAGCTTTACTAGGTTGGTAATTTTTTTTTTCCTATGTTAGTAGTTTTTATTTAAAAACACACTCCAAGCCCTTCAAGTTTTATAGGTGGTTTCAAAGCAGAAGGTAACATCAAAATGGAATGTTAAATTTGGCATGAATGATTTATTGAAAATGTCATAGTAAAAAGTCAAAAATGAGGCTGGATCCCACACAACTCTAAAATTTGCCCTCACTTTCTCGTGAAGGACACAACCTAAAAACCCTAAACCCTAAAATTTGCCCTACTTTCTTGTGAGGGGCACATAATGAACCTTTGGTAAACATTAGGGGCTCTCCAAAGTTTTTAAAATAACAATTTATAGAGTGTTTGCTATTTGCCTGGCCTTAGTTTTGTATCAAATTGTAGTTATAGTGGGTTCCTATTTTAATTCTTCAGAAGTACAAAACACAACCAGATCCACGTTATCCTGATCTTGCTTTGCCCTTAAAAAGGTTTTCTTTGTAGCACAGACTTTCCATCTATCAGAAAATGGCAGTGAGACCTTTCCCAGTAAAGACAAAAATAGGTTGGTGAAGTCATATCCAAATTACCAGTCAACCTCCTGAAAACAATGCCATCAAAGACAATAATTGCAGCTACTGTGTGTTACTATGTGTCGAGTATTATGCTAGGCTCTTCAAATATGTATGTTCCTATATCTATATATATACACTTCTGATTCCCACAAGAATCCTGCAACATGGCTTTAGAAATGTTCTTACAGATGGAGAAGCTGAGGTTTGGGGAGATTAGGCAACGTGCCCAAGGTTACAGTAGCTAAGTGGCAGAATGAGATTCAAACCTAGTTCTTTCTGAATTCTGCAGTATTCTTTACTGCACACTGCCTGTCAACAAAGGAACAGGCTGGAATCAGAAGTCAGATCAGGATGTGGGTCAGCACTACCCTTGTTTGTTTCACTGATTCAGCATCCATTCATTCAATACATATGTATTAAGTGCCATCTATGTATCAGATACAAAGGAACACATTCAATTTACCAAGTAGTGGTCAGAAGCTGGAGGAATCTGAAGGAAAGGGAGCTGGAGTGATGTTGAATTTCTGGTTCAGTGGCAAGCACAGGCTAAGCTGATAAATCTAGAGGAGGACAAATAGGGCCTCTGGGCACAGAGTACAGGTAACCCAGATTTGCAGGTTAACCCTTACATGTCAAGTATGCCTACTTTTCCACATGAATTAAAAAATTTTTCCTTTCCAAATTTTTTCATAACGACTGTGGCCTGAATTTTCTTATTAGTAGACATAAAGTATGTATTCAGAATCAGATATACCTGTGTTAGAACCCTGGCACTCCCACTTGGCAGTTATTTAAACAGCTTTGGTTTTCTCAGCTATAATGATATAAACCAAGCACCTTTGTTTCTATCTCTTGTATTTTTTTAATAGAGTCTCGCTCTGTTGCCTAGACTAGAGCACAGTGGCATGATCACAGTTCACTGCAGCCTTGAACTCTTGGCCTCAGGTGATCCTCTTGTCTTGGTCTCCCAAAGTGCTGGGATTACAGGTGTGAACCACCAGACTCTTGTCACTTTCATATGGTTCAATTACCTTGCCACCTTAGAGAGCAAGATAATTTATCAATCATCAAACCAACCTTAGACATAACCCAATCATATAAATTCCAGATTAATATCATTTTCCCCTACATTATATAGATCCGGTTTATTTTTTAACAAATTACTTTTGGATTTATGTGGGGCAAATCAGATATGTCTGGTTAGGCAAAGTCATTTGATATTTTATGAGAGTTTCTTTTACGACAAAATCATTTGATTTTTCTTGGTTAAATTTCCTGAAAATATCTGGCACTTTGAAACACTGAGGTTTTCCTCCACCAGAATAAGGTACTTAGTATGTGCTGAGAGGGATACATGTCAGAGCACATTCCAGTTGGTTTTAGGAGCTTCTTCCTCCTTGTGAGCAGAAAGAATTGGACTCATTACCCCTCCATTTCATCAAAGGATTCAGGGATGAAGATTCTATCAGCTCACTTAGCTGGTTGATGCAGGAACCCAAGATGGAGCTCAGAGTAACCAAGCTATGCTCTGATCCTCCTGGAAATCCTTTCTGAATGAAACACCTAAGCCCCCAGTTTGTTTGCTGAGCCATATTTCTTGCTCTCTGTAGATGTGTAGTGATATTTGAAATCTAGATAGTTACATGAACTTTGCCTTTTATAGTTCAAAGTGATTCTGTTCAATGTCATTCACTCATAAAAGAAGAAACTACAATTCAAGTAGGCCAAATAAATTTGTCCAAGATTACATAGTTACTGTCAGAGCTGAGATGAAGAACTAGGCTTCTTGCAATTTAGAACATAAAATAATTTATTCGTTGAGATAATCTGACTAGAAAATGTGCAGAAAAGTCATTAAGATTCCAATAAATGAATTTATGTAAGAGCAGTATATCTATTAAATAAATGATGGGTTGTTCTATTAAAACAATTTTAGGAGGAGAAAAGGATCGTTTTGGTTTATTTCCAAATATCATTTACTTTCATTTTTATATGTACAAATTTCATCTGTTATCATTTGACCTAAAGATAGCTTTTCTGTTTTCATGGGGAACTGTGATGATAGATTACAATGTGTTAACTATACCAACATAAGGTTTTAAAACTGGTTATTTATCTGCTTCCTCTTATTATTGTCATTTTGACTTTTGTTTTCTGAAATTTCATAGTTTTCAATTCTAAACAATAAAATTGTACATATTCTTAGTCATGAAAAAAACATAATGTCTGTGTGGATAATTAAGAAAACGTCCACACAAAAAAATATTTTCATAGAAAACTTACATTAACAGATACCTAATTTTGATATTAGACTATAAAATAGTAGAAATGCATTTTTAAAGGAAAAGTTACACAAACAGTGCTTTGAAAATATTGGGTTAACATTACCCACCTGCTTTTTTGAGAGATTTGTTCCAGTTTCTTGGCTAATGTACAGCATTCTTCTTTTAATTTTGTCAAAACTTTATTCTGGGAGGTCAGCAATGAATACTGTTCATTTTCTAGAAATAACAATAAATCCCCACCAAGGTAAGATGTTTGTGGTTATAGCTCTGCAGTGCTGCTATACCCAGAGTGGGAAAGCACTTAGACCACTACACAATTTCCTATAAGACTCCAGGTCACTGTCAGTGCCCTAAGTCAAAGAACCCATCACCTGGCAAGACACTGAATCCTGTGAGTCATTTATTTTCATAATAATTATATACTAGGAACATTTTTTGATCATACTAGCTCGGTGTAATGCTATAACATTTTAATAAACTGTCGAATGCCTCAAGTGAAGTCATAGATGCTTATATCTCTGTAATATTCAAGATACTGTATTTTTATCTTGACAAACTCACACACCCGGATAACTGAAACCCGAGATCACTGAGGGAGGTGTCTTCTGCACGGAGCTCGTGCCTTGCTTCACATTTGTGCAGAGTGTGCTACCACCCTCCCCCATCTCGCACAGACTTCTCTAATTATGAAGGTGAAATGTGTGATTCTCCTTAGAATTTTGATTCTATTGTCAACAGCAGGAGCTTCACTGGCTATATGGTCAAAAAACAAAACTGAAGAATGTGATTTTTGGGGGGTATCAAAATAAAAGAAAGTGCTCTTAAGGTGGTTCTAAGAATTAAAAAAATGTAGCACTCAGCGTCTGCCCACGACTGTGGTCGCAACGATCCTGGTAGTAGTGGGGGCAAACAATAATTTATCCTATAATTTCCTCTTTGCTACTGGATAAATATCTTCTAAATCTGGTGAATTTTCATTTGATCTAGCCAAACACTGTCAGATGAAAATCTCTCCTGGAAGTGCTGGGGGGTTATGTGAGTCATTATGACATTTGCTTCTTTATAAATAAATGGATTCTTGAATAAACTTCATGTTCATAATTTTTCACCTATAGGATAAATAATTTTTTTACTGTATCATCAAATCTAATGTACATTAAATCATGTGAGAATTACCTCATAGTGTAAGTTTTAATAGGCCCTTTATTTTCAATTTTAGCTAAAGATGGGCAAAAAACATAGCGCATACAAATCAAAATAAAGGCACTAGAATGAAGCAACATTTTTCTGGAAGAGACAGGATCAATTAAACTTTTGTTTTAATAGTACAATCAGCGTGGAGTATGTGGTGTGGAATTCTAATGACTGACACTGTCTTGTTTTGACTAACACTGTCTGTGAACACACAACTCAAAAGTGAAAGAAACTACAGAATGCAATGACTGAACAAACCAAACTGCCTATTTTCAAAGTGCATTTTACTTTCAAATTAAAGGTAAAGAGTTACTGGCCAACTCAGTCTGCAGAATAGTGCCAATGTGATGAAAGATGGCAATTTTTAGCCAAGCTGCCAGCTGTGGTCAATGCCTTGTATTAGTGAATTTTAACAGCAGTTGTGAGAACTTGAAGAATGCAAAGGATTAAACATCACTCTAGATTGGGTTGGGGGAGGTGGGGAAATCATACAAATGCTAAAAATGTTCGAAGCTGCAAAGATTAAATAAAGGAACATATCAATTTGGAGCCACTGAATTACATCCAGCTGCGACAGTGAATTAAGAACCGATTAATGGCTAAAGCTTTTCTCCAGTTTGGATGCTGAAGCAAACTCATTAGGCTTTTAGAGTAGCTATAATGTGTGTACTGTGGGAACTGTTCAATGCTATTCAGGAGACTCTAACTGTAAGCTCAGAGCATTTCCCGCAGAGCTTCTGATGCTATTTTCTTTATATAACATGTGTGCCTGAAAACCCAGCCAAAAACAAGCCCTTTGTTTTTCTACTTTGTTGTGGTCTCTCTCAGCTTTACGTTTCTTGAACACAGGTAAATAAACTCATAATCCAGATGGTGCAACAGATGTGAGAGCAGCACTCTGAAATCAACAGACAGTGGGCAATACTTTCCATTTTCTCTTTTAAACGCTAACTAATATGTAATTCGGAATCTCCGGTGTAGTTAGCATCTGCTCCCTTCGGCCAGCCAAAGGTTACAGGTGTTCCTGATGTCATTTCACAGTAAGGCGTGGGCCTGGCTTGTGAGTAAGTGCCCAGGCTCTAATCTTTCCCTACCACCTACCAGTTTTGTCATGCTGGGCCTCCATTTGCTGTATCTTCTGTGTCAGCTCCTGCTCTCTTTGCTGGGCCTGGAGGGCTTGGGCCTTTGCTTCGTTGCTAAAGCTCTGCTGAATGCTATCTTTTTCCAGTCTGCAAAACAGAGGAGACATACAGAAATTTCATCTGCAGTTGCATAGACCCCCATCATTTCCCCTGCAGACTATAGAGAGCTGATACGTAGTAAATTGTTAAGCAGAAGAAAACAATCTTTGTACAGACACTCTCCACCCTTAAGGGGAAAATCCAAAGGACCCTTTATGCAATGTTAAATAAGTTTTCAAAAGGGTTATGCAGCTTTAAAAAGCAAAAAAGTCATGGCAGCTGAATAATGGTATTTTGCAACTTTAAAGCACAGACACCATTTTCTTCAATAACATGCTGAATGTTTTGCACCACCAGCTAATCTTTCATCTTCTGAATGGTCAATATCTCCTACAGATACTGGAATTCTTGGAAAAGCAAGACTTAATTCTTAATGTTTAAATTCTTAAAAATAAGCTGCGCAGACTGCTTCTGTTTCTCCTCTGAAACTTAAAATGGAATCTCCAATGTAATGTAGGAGACTCTATCAGAGGCAAGTAAATGATTCTGTGGTGCCACATGCATGTTTACATTAAATATTTTCACACATCAGCCCATACAATGTGAATGTAAATATGAATATGAAAATTAATAACTTCCCCAGCACATCATAATCAAATCCTTCATGGGGCACACTGAAAGAAAATGCAAGATGAAAACTTCCATAGTTAAAGACAATATCCTATCCCACTGTCACAAGACACTGACCTACCCCTTTGGGTGGCCAATCACAGTGGCCCCTATGGGGAGAGACTTCCTAACAATTAGAACTTGAGGAACGCATGGATGTCATTGCTAGCAGCACTCTGGACACCAACACTGTGTGTGTTTGCCACACACACACATATCCACACACACAGGTTGGTTCTTTAAACTCTGTATGTTGGGAAGTGATATAGGGTTTCCTTCAATTAACTGAGTTATTTCCAACTCTTGATCTCCTTGTGGGCATTTCTCATCCATGCTGCTTTAGTTTACTAATTGAGATACTTACTGCCTAGCCTTTGCCAAACTAAAAATAAACAATTCCATAAAGCAATCACTACTAGTCTACGTACCGCTGTGGAACTTCAACTCACTGGCTTCTAATTATAAAGCAACATAAGGAAAGCCTGTATTAAAATTGGTCAATGCATGTGGTAATGTTGTAGTGTAACATTCCGGAATGAAAATACACCCACACCTCCCTCAAATGGAATCATCAGGGGTCCATGCTAAATGTGAAAGTCCCTTCTGGTACTTCTAATAACAACACCCCCTGGCTATGGTCCAAGGTCTTGCCTCATACTCAGTTCCAAACTCGTATATTGCAGCAAATGGACAGTCAGACTGGGCTACTTTTGCCTCCCCAGCCACACCACATCCTTACTGGCCGTGGATCACTGCACATGTCTCTTCCTCTTAGAACGCCCCCTCCCACCCGATCCCCCAAAGACGTACACGACTCCTTTAATACCTAGCTCAAAATTCTTCTGCTCTCCTTCCTTTCGCTTCTAAATTAACTATTCTTTCTTCAATAACCTCAATGTATGTTGTATATATCCTAAAAGACAGCATTCTTCATACTCTAGTTATTGTTTTACACGTCTGTCTCCTTTTGTCATCTTTGTCTACACTCTTAGCCCAGCTCATTTCTTGGCACATAGGAAGTGGACAGTGAATGTTTAATGATTGGATGTTCTTAAATCCTTGGGAAAAGGCTGCAATCTTTAAGCATAGCTGGAGAATCTGCTTAAGTCTTATCCAAGGAGGCAAAAGCTTCTTAGAAAACACGCCTGGAAAACAGTGGCTAATGCTTTGCCAGCTGGAGACCAGGCTGCTGAGGGGGCCTCAGTGAAAGAGCCTATGGGCGTCTTCATTGAGTAACCATACCCAGGTCAGAGCCCAGCCAGGGCAGGAGATATATGTAAGGAGACCTGGGGCTCTATGATACCTAAAAATTTAGTGACTATAAATGCATTGTCCCAAACCAATTCCCATCTGGGGGTGGAAAGGGGCATTATTAATAATTATACCAAGATAGGCCTGGCATGGTGGTTCACACCTCTAATCTGAGCATTTTGGAAGACCAAGGAAGGAGGATGGCTTTAGCCCAGGAGTTTGAGATCAGCCTGGCGACACAGTAAAACCCCATCTCTACAAAAAATAATAAAAATCAGTCAGCCATGGTGGCAAATAACTATAGTCTCAGCTAGTTGGGAGATGGAAGCAGGAGGACCACTTGAGCCCAGGAGTTCAAGGCTACAGTGAGCTATAATCATGTCACTGCACTCCAGCCTGGGCAACAGAGTGAGATTGTTTCCAAAATATTTTTTAATACAATAATTATACTGATGTCATAAAGAGTTTTCTCTAGAATTTTTATTTTATGTCTTAGATTTAATTATTCTGGCATGCAAAGAATTTATGAAGATACCATCAATAATTGCAGCAACAACAAAAATTTTATTTAACTTGATCAAGTTAATAAAGGTTCTTCACAGCTAAGGACAAAGACAACCATCAGAATGAGAAAAGATATTCACATGTTATGAACTGACAAAGGGCTCTACATAATCTACAAAGAACTCAAATCAATAAGAAAAACACAACCCCATTAATTACTGGGCAAGAGACATGAACAGAATCTTTTCCCAACAGGACAAAGTAAAGGCCAACAAAACCATGAAAAAATGCTCAACATGATTGTCAAATCATCAGACAAATGCAAATCAAAATCACATAGAGATAGCACCTAATCTCAGTGAGATCCCAAAGCTGCAGAAACTGGCATGGATATGGAGAGAGTAGAACACTTATGCATTAGTGGGAATGCAAACTAATGTAGCCCTTTTGAAAAGAAGTATGGAGAATCCTCAAAGACCTAAAAGTAGACTTTCCATTTGATCCCACAATCACATTACTTGGGTATCTACCCAGAGGAAAGAAAATCATTTTATCATAAGGACATTTACACTCTAACATTTATAGCAGCTCAATTCTCAACCCAAGAACCCATCAACACATGAATGGATCACTAAATTGTGTTATAGGTAAAAAGATGGAGATTTTTCAAGTTTCATATTTATCTGGATGGATATGGAGAACATTCTCCTAAGGAAAATATCTTGAGGAATGGGAAAGCAGGCATCCCATGTACTGAATACTATGTTAAAACTAGTAGATCAACAACTACAAACCCACATGAGAAAAACACAATTAAATTCAAGAAGAGGGGGCTGGGGGTTTGGAAGTTCCCACCTCAGAGGCACAATGTAGGCGTGTAGACCACACAACCTGGGTGAAGGACTCAACTTCAACTCAGATTCAACCTTACAAATACACACAATGGAACCTAATCATATATAACCTCATATTAATCCAAAATTTTTTTAAAAGGAAAAAATAATTATACGCCAAGATAATAGTTGCAACTTAGACTACCCACTACAAACTGGAACTTCCCCAATGTAAAGGGGTTGCCAATCTCACCACCAATTTTTAGAATGAGAAGCTAATTATTATTTTAAATCTACTATAGCAAAGAACTACTGTATTAAATGTAGAAATCCTTGTAAAGTGAAACAATTAAACTCTACCAACAAATGTTGAGTTACACATGAATCTGTGTTTCTTAACTTTCTCCAACTCACTCTATTTGAGAAATTACATGTTATTTTTCACTGCATAGAAACATGGCATGTTCACCTCCCCCTTCTCCTTTCCTGTGTTGCCTTCTCCTCTTGCAGATTCTTTCTGACTTTTCTTTTTTTTGTTAAATCTCAGAATGTTAGAACTGAAAGGGAACCTCAAATGTCTTTCACCAAACCCTCTCACTGAATAGATGAAAACAACAAAAACAAAATCACATACACAAACTCTGAGGGTCACAAGGAATTTGGGATCTGCTCATAAGTTACAGTGAATGATTTAAAGGCAGAGGCTGAATTAAAAATATTTTTATTTAGGGAAATTCATTAAAACTCCAGAGGTAATGCAATAATGGATCAAAAGAATTAATAAAAACCACATAGGTATCCGAGAAAGAACTAGGGAAGACTCCAAATCAATTCATTAAATATTTATTATAATTCTATTATGTGAAAGACACTCCACTAGGCACTGAGTCAAATAAAGATAAACCAGACAGTCTTGGCCCCAAGCAGGGAGTTCAAAATGGAAAAAGAAGGTAGATGGTAAAATATTTAAGAAAGGTACACAGGAAAAAAACTACCAAAGCATAAAAAAGAGAGGTTGCTTACAGCTGGGTGTGAGAACCTCCTCCAGGACAGTGAAGCCAGTCTCCCCAGCTGGTTTTCTTTCAGTTCTCATTTGAAACATTGATAATCTTCTTTAACCAAACTTGCAGTTAGCCCTATTTCATAAATTGGAAGAAAAGCAATGGCAATAAAGAAGAATTTCTTGGTAGTTATTAAAATGGAGCTGAAGGAGTCATTCACAATAGCTCAAAACTGGAAACAACCTAAATGTCCATCAATTGCTCAATGATACAGCCTCACAATGGAGTAACAGGTATACTCGCCAACCAAAGCAAGTTACTGTCACATACAACACCTAGATGAACTTCAAAGGCAGTGCACTTCAAGAAGCCAGATGCCAAAGGGACATCTTAGGTGTCATTTACATGACATTCTAGAAAGTAAACACTAAGTGACAGAAAGGTAAGGAGATGCAGGAGGGGACAGAAAGGCACAAGGGAAATTTCTGAGTTGATGAAAATGTTCTACGTCATGATTAGGATAATTCTACAACTGTATACGTTTGTCAAGACATTTAACTGCGCATTTAAAGTTGCTGACTTTTATTACATTTAAATTGACCCCAAGAGAGTGGAGAGAGGGAAGGAGGGAGGAGGTTGGGGGGTCACGGTGTATGGTACTCTTGGGGGCAGTACACAATTATAAGAGGGACTTACGTAACAAATGCAGCAGTGTAACCTGGTTCTTTGTACCCTCAATGATTCCCCAACAAGAAATAATAAAACGATACCCCAAGAAAGCCGATTTTTA